TCGGTCATAATAACGAAATACTTTAATTACTCAAACAATAGCTTTTAGCCAGTCAAAATAACTGCGTTTTATACATTTCGATGTTGGGTTTTGTTAAGTTTTATACGATTTCAACATGCCATTTCATGATTAGTTCCTATTGACATAAGTGCGAATTTGAAATACTTCTATTTGATGTCCTAAAGATGTCTGAATCCTTAATGTAAAGCACGGGCAGAGTTCTCCAAACTTTCAGCTTACCATTCGTGTATGTCTCAATATAATGAAAATTGGCAGTTCGTTGGATCGAACGAGCTCCTCTCGCGTACTGTACAGAAAAATATACCTTATTCAACTATCGTACAGTTCGAAATATCATCACGTTCATGGTTGTTATTTTATTAAGAGAAGCAGCTGAAATTTTCAACGTTCTGTTATAACCTTTTGTTTTATTTTCTTCCAAGTAAAGTGAATGCGTTAGTGAAACGGCGATCGATACCCATATTCGTTGTGTTACTTAGAAATAAAAAAATCAAAAACCTTTCAGTATTGAGTTTTTTATTTTGGTTAGAAAGCTATATATATATCTTCATTTTATCTGACATTCATGAAATGAAGTCCACATTTGGGTAAACTTAATGCAGTATTGTGTAGTATACTTAATTTTTTTTTAATGACGGGACAGGAGGGACTCTCTTAACGGTTGTACTCAGGTCAAAGGGCATGGGCTTATCCACTAAATACCCTGGGCATACTCTCGGTTGAGAGCGGCACCTGGGTACCCGGGCGTAGTTGTCGGGCCAGACACTCGCAGTGTGTATGTATGTGAGTATTCATTCAAAACGATTGTAAACTTCAGAAAACAATTACCAAATCTCAACCACAGTGTGTGATGGTGTCGTATATGCGTAGGTTCGTTACGTTGCCTTAAATATGGTTGAGTGAAGCGATGCCTAGCTCATGCGTCATGTTCGTAAACGGGTGCTGCCAGTGGGGATGAGCCTGCTCTGGACTAATTCATTTTATTCATTATCTGTTATTTTGAATATCGTAGTTCAGTTTTGTTATCAACGAATTTGTATGACAAGGCATTAATTGAATAAAAAGAAAGAATCGTTCCTTTCTTTTATGTACTCAATAGAAAGTATTTCATAGTCTAATGAATTCACTTTTTAATAGGTCAAGCAGCATCTTGACGGTTTTTCTCAGAACAAAGTCTAGTCTTAGATTTGCGAACCGATGGCATAGCTTTCGACTTTCCCAAATTTATAACAGCCTAGATTGATTAAAATTATATTGTATTTGAATTTTAGAGAGTATAATAATAAGTACATATTTCACGTTGTCACCCAAACAGCTAGTGACGATTCAGATGTAAGGCGTTATGAATAATTTGAATGCAATGAAATATTTATTTAACATTGAACTTTAAGCGGTAGGTATTAACGTTTCGTGCACACCCTCACAGGGCGATACCGGGGGAAGGTTCGTAACTCCGTGTCCAACTTGTCATTAGTCCATTACCGTGATTACTTGCCGGAGGCTTCCCGGGAGGCTGCTTTTGTACCATAGTCCAAATGTTCATTACAGTATTCGATGTTTGATAAAACTTAATCCAAGAGTCTCTACTATGTTTTAGTTTTATAAGCTACTTCACTGTAAAAGGACTATATAATATTATTGATTTTTAGAAATATAATAGCTTTAATATAATGTATGTGTGCATGTATCTTATTAATATAATAATGGCAAGTTTGTAGGTTTGGATGTGTTAAATAAAATCTTAAAGTCAAACATTTGTGTTTTTATTTCTAATAAATTTTGACAACTGTAAATCTTAATTTATTTTTCTATGTAAGTATTTTAGTTATAGACAAATCTCAGTATAAAATTATAACAGGATGTTTGTGAATTCTTCGCTCTATACGAATATTACAGAACGTATTTTGATGAAATTTCTAATAAAAAATTTGAGCATGGATAAACATATAGCCTATTTCGTATCCCTTGGCCTAAAAATACCTATGTTAAGAAAACGAAGTGATAGCTCTTGATGCACTGTTTAATGCCCCGATCGACATAATGCTTGACGATCACTCGCTTAAACATGTAGGCCAATCCAAATATCTGGTCAGCACCATAACATCCAGGTCCCGCCTTGATAACAAGATTAACAACAGAATTGGAGCAGCTGCCGTTTTAAGTTTCTTTTCAAGGTTTTCCGCTCTAAGTCAAGCTATTTGCAAAACTAGCTGTGTACATAAACTAGTACTTGTAATGCCGAATCTTCCTTATGTCTCCTAAGCTTGCCGTCTAAGCAATCACATTTCTGTGGTGGATTGGTTCCACCTCAAACGCCTGCGTGAGAGATAATTACTATACGCTGGTTTGACCGCGTTCGTATACCGAGACAGCCAAGACAGCTACGATCGGCCGGTCACGACTCGGATGTCGGACGACAGAGTATCATATCACCAGCCCTTTTACGTCCCCACTGCAGGGGCTCAGGCCTTCCTTATGGATGGTTAAGGAGAATGGGCCATGTCCCTCCACGCTGGCCCAATGCGGATTGGAGGATATTAACGACTGCAAATGCAGCCGGGACCAACGGCTTAACGTGTCTTCCGAAGCACGGAGTAGCTCGAGATAATAATTTTTGGTCACCCATCCCGTGACCGACCCTTGCGAAAGTTGCTTAACGCCTACTATCGCGGGCCGCGGCGCTTATCCACTACGTCACCGAGCTACTCTTAATTTCACTTTTATGAAGTGAAATTAAGAGTAGACTCATATCATATCGCATTTTTTATAGTGAACTGTAAGATGGCAAGCGAACACAAGGTGGTCAGTTATTGAGATACAAAGATGTACTAAAGTGATGTGATGTAGATTTGCCACAGAGGAACTGACAGAAGATCGGGTGTCATGTAGGCACACCATGAACATAAGTGTCTGAGTTTGAGAGGACACAAAGGAAAGAGCTCGATACTAAACAATATGACCTGAGGTCCCGACCACCTGCAGCCATTCACTATAATTACATCCTGGTGTATTAACTTGTATCCTATGTGCTCACACATGAACTGCAAAAAACAGTTACGTCAGTCACCTGAGAACGCACCACCAATGAAACATAATGATGGGTATAATTGGCTTCAAAGTTTATTTTTGATTTTTTGCGCATTAAAACAAAATCTAATTTAAATACTTTTATTAAAAGTTCAGTTGCAATTCGCAAACAAATTGCAAATAAACTTTCCACTTGCTGGCAAGCCTGAAAAGAAAAAGAGGTCGGAAAAAGATGGACTATTTCGAAGAGATGTAATGGTACATTAAATGAACATAATAGAAGATAATATTTTCATCAATAACAAGAATAGTCAATTAAACGAACATGATTTTGTACTACCGTATACCTTCAACTAGTCTGATTTAGAAGTTTCCCCACTGTCATTACAAGTACTGTATTAGGGGGCTCATCAATATTTCACGCTTGGAAGCGGCGGAGTCGTTTATTCGTAATTGGGAACTGAAAAAACAATCAAAGCGACGAGAAAAGGTTTTACTGGTAATTTACTTGCAATCTGCCCGAAGAATGCTTAATGATGATATGGGTTTCTTAGGAAACAAACGTGTGATGGATGATCTGTAATAAAGTAAATATAATGATTGTGTTAAATTATGACATCGCACATGTCAATTATGACATCGCACATATTAAATATGACATTGCACATATAAATTATGACGTCGCCTATAAAATCAACACCGTATTACCTGAGAAATTTTCCATTTTCCTCTACTAACTCGCAAAACAGTCATTAAATTTTAGAGTTCACGTAAAATGATTTGTCGTTGTCATATTATATGGAGAATTTGAATAACGTTTTTAATTAACTTGAAAAAGTAGTTTTTCTTCAAATAGCGATTTTTAAGTTGATGTGTAGTGGTGTTTTTTTATATAATAATAACTACTATTAATCAAATAAGCTTAACGATTTCTTTATAAATAGAAAAATATGGCATAAAACATAAAAATATAGAGCCAAATTCTAACTAAATAAAAGTGAAAAAGAATACTTATCTCAAAAGCGACTTATTCAGAAAATACTATTGAAGTTGGACGCCTATCCTTTAATAACCTACAGAACACCTCTATATATTTAATACGTTTAATTTAAGTGCTAATTGCTCTAAAAATATTTTTTGGCATACGTATTAATTAATTAATTTATTTTATCTAATAGATTGTTTCACACCCTCCATTTTTTTGTTGGTTTATATGAATACCTAAAACCTACTAAGTCTGACAAATGCTATGCTGAAAAGCGCATCAAAATCGGTTCAGACAAACGCGAGACAATCGCGCACAAACATACATACAGGTCATACTGAGAACTTCCTTTTTATTAAGTTGGTTAAAAATGTAGGAGAAGGAAAATAAGAATTAAATAAATAAAAATATGCACAAAAAAGTTTCTCGTTTCCGTTTTGGTATTCTGTGAAAATACAGCGTTAAACGCAGCATGAGAGGTTTAATCAGATAAAACCCCTCATAAAACCTGCTTCCCGTGGCCTTTTGGAGTAAGCAAAATTTAAAAAAAAAAATCTAACTAATATTGTGACAGCTCTGTGCTCATCGCTGTATTAAAATCTAATGCCAAAATTGTACTTTGGAACCGTTTTAATTATTAAAGCACATTTATATCTTGGATTACCATTTAAAATACAAAAAAAAAACATATTTGAATCATATCATTTTACAATTTGATTCAGATTGTAATTTTAGTAAGCTCTCAATACTTTTTAAATTGTCCCTGTGTTGATGAAGATGAGCTATGGTAAAAAAAAAACCTTTTCTCGACTATATATACGAGTGTTAGAAACGCTGATTATAAAAAAAGTTTCGTTAGTGAATTGACGACCTATCACCAATATCCCTTTCCTATCCTCCTATTTCCTATCCTTAAAAAGGAACACTTTTTATTATACAAATGCGTAAGGGTAGCAACGACATCCAATCACCACCGAGGCCTCACTTCTGCAACCGCAGCCAGGTCGAGCAGACGAAGCTTCTTAATCAGCTCAGAAGTCAACCTAGCTTCACACTGAACGGCTCGTTTTGTCTCGTGATATGTACAAAATTATAAATTACTAGCTCTCCGCCAGCGGCTTTGTCCGCGTGTTCACTAGGGAACTGTTTATTTTGATGTCGATTCATATCATGATACGAGTATAATTACAATGACAAATTGAATAGTAAACCATGGTTACTATGGTAACGCATTAATTCCCTATACAAGCTTCCAATCCCATTTTCATTCTTTTATTTGTTTCTCGGGATAAAATATAGCCTATGTTCACCGCATATGATGAAGTTTCTTGTAGGTGTTGTCAGTAGTTTCGGAGCTTATTCGTTGCAAACAAAAAAACATTCAAATCTTTCCTCTATAATATTAGTATAGATATAAAGTATAGATTCTATGCTACTTTTAGTATGGTGTACCCTAATTAGTGGTAGATTTAGCACACCGACTATGTCTGCAGCGGCGTGACTGAGAAACCTGTAAATTTGACGTAGACTGACCTGATCTAACTTGAGCAATTCCTCGGGCGTGTCAGGCAACTGGCCCAACATCAGCGGGGGGTTGATGTTCACTTCCTTGCCCAATGATCGGACCACCTCCTCCCTGTTGTACCGGTCGGCGAATACGCACGACGCTGGTATCAGACCGTGCACGGTGTAACTGATTGCTCGGACCAAGATTCTGAAAAAAAGAGATACTATTTACTGATCACATTGTAACAGATTCTGTTCTTTAGACGTGTTGTATCGCTTTTTATATAATAATAATGATTTTCTTGCTGTACAGTTAATATAAATTCTTTGGATTATCTAAAACTTTTCTTTAAACATATGATATTTGTTATGGGTTGGAGTACTCTTCTAAAAATAAGCCCTATAATTATGACGATTGGTGGAGCGAAAGCAATGAAAATTAATTTTACATAAATGTATAAGAAATGGAGGACGGTTCATATCAAAAATCAAAATCAAATTTATTTATTCAGTCTAGGCTGTTACAAGCACTTGTGAAAGTCGAGAGCTACGCCATCGGTTCGTAATTCTACGGCAGGAGACCTTGTACCGAGAAAAGCCGGCAAGAAACTCGGCAAGGGCTGCTTTTTTCTCCCTGTTTTGTTTCACACAGAGCGCCAAGATTGAATTATGACTTATTCAAAATATGAAGTCACTTTCCATTACAATATTAGAAAATATAAAAGTAAAACAGTTTTTACGTCAATCGAATCACATGTCTAGTCAAACAAGCTCACCGATAAATAATTTAATATACATAAAAATAAGCCTTGCTTTTAATAAGCTTTTAAACTTAGGCAATGATAAATTTAAAATTTCTATAGGAATTTTGTTATAGTAGTGTATACCCATAAATGATGATAGTACCTTCTTTAGCCTGCATGACGGCAAAACAAGTTTATCTTTGTTTCTAGTATTCAAATTGTGTATACGACTATGTTTAGTATAATTGTTAGTATTGTTTCTAACATAAAGTATACAGTTGTATATGAATTGGGAGGCCACTGTTAATATCCCAATTTCTTTGAATTTATTTCTTAGTGATGTTCTTGAACCCAATTGATAAATAGCCCTTACTGCTCTTTTTTGTACCTTCTTTAGCTTCTTTAGCCTACATGACGGCAAAACAAGTTTCGCCGTATATATTATTTGTATTATATCTAATTGAGTTATCACTTCAAATCTATGTTCTGTGCTTCAAATTGATTCATATGACGTTGTATTTAAAAATTTAGCTCGAAAATGCTCTTGCACTGCCAGCCGGCGTGACTTTGCACCGAGTGAAAGAATTCGTTGTGAATGTAATGCAAACTGCACGGTTATGGTGAACAGGGCCCGCATGCGGGATACAGCAGGCCTTTGTAACGTGTACAATAGAAACAGCAGTGCTATTATGTAAATACATCGTAAAACAGAGTGCTATCGCGGCATATGGCGGTGGTCTGTAACATCATAGGTTGCAAATATGTATGAACAGACAATTATAAATATTTTTAATGAAAAACGCTTAGAAATCCACTTAGTCCCTGGCACTCTGAGATGGGACGAAAGGTTATTTTCGCAATCCGGGTGACTACTCTAAAAAACGAGCTATAGCTAGCTAGAACCTAACAGGTCTGCGAAATTGATGAAATATAATAATTAGAACAAATTTTCGTCTTTATCGAAAGTTTGAAATATTTGTAAAACACTATTTGACTTTTTGGGTGGCCCGAACATTGATGAAAATATGCTCTGTAGTAGCAAAAGTTACAACTGTTGGAAAAATTCATCAATAAGGGACAAAGGGGATAGCATTTTTAATTAAGAACACGTGTAATATAATTGATTTTATTTCTAATTCGTCCTTTTTCTTTCCATCTTCTACACCTAACAGCTCGTCTCCCATACCTACCATAATGGTTCGAAACGATCACGTAGTATGGTATAAGTCTGAGAGATGGCTGTAGTATATTTCCATAATTAGACATTATATGTAGACCGTAACGGCGTCACGACGGACGCGACCTACGTCGTTCCTTATAGAGCACCATTTAGCAATCACATAAAACCTACTTCAAAAGGTAATATATTAGGTTGGGGTGAAAAACTTTTCGCTTATAGTATGCATAAACTTGTAATAACATCTTTCTAGCTATACCATTTGTATCTGGCTGGTTTCGGTATGATTAAAAAGTTTAACTTTTAAAGAGGATAACTTCAAATTCGAATTAGGAAAATGTGTGATTTTCATGAGTGAATCTAATGAAGAAATCCGATACATTTTAAAATTTTATTATAGTAAAAATGCAACGCAAACCGCGATAAGAAATTACTACGTTTATGGACCGAGTGTAGTTTCTGTAAGATTAGCACAAATCTGGTTTACGCGTTTTCAGTCTGGAAATTTTTATATCAAAGATTCACGTCGCTCTGGTCGCTCGGTTATGGATAAAATGGATGCCATTTTTGAAAAAGTGGAGCATGATCGGTATGTCGTTACGACGTAGCTGAAAAACTGTAAAAGCTGGGTACACAAAAAAGTTGTATATTTGAGTACCTCATCAATTTACTGAAATAAACTTAATAAACCGTGTATTTATTTGTGATTCTTTATTACGGCGTAATGAAACCAAACCATTTTTGAAGAACTGATGATGAAAAGTGGATCACGTACGACAAGAATGTGCGAAAAAAGTTAACGATTTCCACCTGTTTTGGTCTCTTCAGAATTCTTCAGGCAGTGTCAGATTAGTACTGCCAAAACCAGTTGTTGCGGTTTTTTTATCAGAAGCCCCAAAATTTCTTTAGCAATGGGATCCCTTCCTACAAGATGGCAAAAAATAAAACTTATTCCCCGACCTATCGGGTTTAATTTGATTAAATCTCTAAGGCTACGACAACGCTTGACTATCGCAAATGATTTTTAACCAAGACACACAGAGGTCATAACGCTTTAATCCAGGTCGAAAGACTTCGTGCGTCATCATGTTAAAATTGTCTTAATTGCAAGATCCTAATTTAATTAAACATTCAATTTCAACCAGTTAACGTATGCGTATACTTTGGAATAACACGCTGTTCAAACGTTTCTAGATGAAAGGGTCCGTGCATACAATGCTCGGATGTGGAATGTCAACAAGTAAATGAGAGGTTAAGAAATTTCGCTGACCCAACAGTGTTCCGCTGCGAGGGTAATCTCGCTGCGGAACACTGTTGGGTCAACTTTATAGGATATAACCCTTTGTTGACTCAAGGCGCTTACACACTGTTGGGCAACGATTATAGTTTTTCAGATTAAAAATATCTCTTTCATGCGATTTAATAGTTATCTGATAGTATTGATGCTATCAAAGTTTAAAAATCTATCATCATCAGCCCTTTTAGCTTGAGACTTCCTTATGGATGATGAAGCAGAATGGGCTATGACTATCCATGCGGGCCCAGAGAGTATCCAGCGGGTATTAATGTTAATGCAGCCGGGCGTTAGTCCAAACTGCTTAGTACGCCTAAAGTGCGTTCCGAAGCACAGAGTAGCTCGAGAAAATAATTTTCTTCTATCCCGTGACCAACCCTTGCGACAGTCGAGAAATAACAACAGTCGCGAGCCACGGCGCTTACGTCACCGAGCTCCTAAAAATCTTTATTCAATCAAAATTATTGAAACTGGTTTTGTGTTACATCGAATGAGATATTTTTTTATATCGACATGCATTCGTATAATTGATAATTAAACAACCAAAACCTTGATGTGAATCCTTGAATGATCTTCATATCGAATTCTTACCAGTGTGAACGCTGCTATTGCCTTAATAATTTGCACCAGCTGCTGGAACTTTTGATACCTATAAATAACTTACCAAATAGCACTAAAATGTTAACGCGAGCTCGGCTGGACGGTTATCAATATTGAAATGAAATAACTTACGTTTAACATTAATATGAAAATGTTTTATTAGTCGAATAGTTTATTATGAATTTGTTTAGTACACTGAATAAAACATAGTGCCACCATGTTAGGTAATCAATCAAATAATTTCAGTTTTTGTAATTGCTTTGGAACGTAATAAGAGCTATTATTTAATTATTTTTGTATGACACTATGTGCTGTATTTTTAAGAACATACGAATAAAGTGAATTCGGAATATCAAAATAGAAATTAGTAGTCAACTAACGATAGAAAATAAACAAAACTCGCGAATTATTTTCATTCACATACTATATTTCAGTAGATAAACATTATTTCTTACTATAATTTTTAAATTAAATGTGAAGTGAATCAGTATCTTTGGATAATTTAATGAAATTCGATAAACAATTGAGTTCTCTAAAAAGCAATGTAAGCATTTTGTAAAGTTAAAAACTTACTTTATTCACTTAAACCGATAGTTACCATTGGGTATGAAATTATGTAGATTTAATCTATATCTATACGAATATTAGAAAGAGGAAAGATTTGATTGTTTGTATGTTTGTTTGTTTGTTTGTTTGTTTGTATCGAATAGGCTCCGAAACTTCTGGACCAATTTATAAAATTCTTCCACCTACGGGTACCGATATAACACAGGGTTAAACGTTTTTCATTAAGAATACAAACAAGGAAAATTATTAAAAAATATACCACAATTGTCTATGTGATGATACTATAAATACCCTCGTAGCTGAGTGGCTCGCACGTCAGTTTTGGATCCTTATTTTTATTACAAAATCACCCCTTACTTTTAAGGTTTCTTAAGGCGTTATGAAACATAAAAACGTGATGGTTTCAACACTAAAAAGCATTTAAGTAATAAAATGGCAAGAATACATTTTTTTTCGGTAGAAAGTTTATGGAAGGGGAGTTTTTCCCGAAGGTCAAAGCCGAAACAGCAGTAACAATAAATAAACTTATCAATGATATAAAAAAATCTATGTTATTTGAGTGTGCTTCTATAGATCGTACGGTTTCCGTACGTCAAAAGGATAAAAAAGCGGATTCGTACAGGAATCACGCGTTCGTCCGTCGTTCTGTCACAGCTCATTTGTTCACAGTTCTCACAGGTCGCAGTACATTTAAACAGTTCGTCAACAGGACGACATTGTGTCGAATTTAATTATGCATTGCTCAAAAGTTAAAACGAGGTAAAAATTTGGTGAATATACTTTAAATATATATAGTACACCGCACAAGGGTCAGAACCCTTACCCGATCGTAGTTAAAATAAGGCTTTGAAAAAATTATTCACACAAATAGGTATACTTAATTGGAAACAGAATCATATAGTTTTATCATTAAAAAGTGATCATGCAGTCTTCCAATAGGATACCCCAATCTATTTTAACCTCATTGGAATTCCCCTTACGCGAATTTCACAGTACGATTGAAATCGTGCCGAAGGCTCGGCTGTCACATTATTTATTCATTATCTCTAATGGTACGCGACTGTGGAGCGTGCGTACGTATGCCTTTATAAGTCGATGGTAAGATACTGAATCGTACGAATTACGTATGCTTTATAAGCTGTATTAATTTAAAACACGTGGCTTTCATACTTTTTGTTAACAGGAAACGAATTTGGTCCATTAAATTTCATACTCTTGTGTATTTAGAAAATCAAAAATCAAAATCAAAATTATTTATTCAGTCTAGGCTGTTACAAGCACTCGTGAAAGTCGAGATTTTCATTTAGTATCAAGAGCTCAATGGTGCATATTCCGTTTCTATTCCAGATCGGCTCAATGTAGAAAATTAATGTCTAATAAATAAATTTGTTATGTCGCCCGTCTGGGTGTTGACGAACCTTTGATGTTTCAAATTACTTTGATACAAAGGTTTTAGCTACTTATACTGCATTCATTATAGCATTAGACAGAAGTTAAATAAGGTTCTTTTTATGTATACTTTGTGACAAAATATCAACAAT